TTGCATTTTACACAACAAAGATTGTTTTTATCTTCGCGTGCAATAGTATTATTGCAAATATTACACTGCACCATATTTAATTAGAATAAAACAATTAAAATGTAAATAAATACCGGGAGAGAGTTGTTTTGATGAACGCAGTAAACAGTGTTGTCTAATGCTGTAGGGATTAGTAGACGTTTACACTCCCGTAGCTTCTAGAACTCAATTGGATTCACGACACTTTCTTTAAGTAGATAAAAGTGAATATATTACACTAATCACAGTGAATACTAATACTGTTAGAAGAAAAATACACTGAACTATAATGAACTGTACTGAACATTAAAATTTTAAAAAATCAGAACTGATAATATAAGAGAGTAATAGCGATGTGTACAGGTAGCTGTCTCTGGCCAGACTGTATATATATATATATATATATACAACTTTTCCTTAATCGACCTTTGAGTATTAAATTTAAACTTAACTATTTAATTGGGAATAAGGTCATTTAATTATTATTTAATAAACTATTGAATGTTCATTTCTTCTGTTTATTGACGTTTTGATCCCGGTATTTTCTTTTTATTAGTCAACCATGGGATCCTCTTCAAAGCTAGAACTACAAATAGCTCAATCGGTACACAATATTACTTCCATATGTCTTTAATAACAATTATTTAAAAATGTTTAACCTACTTTTAAAAAATAGAGCTTTGGCCAGACCAGGGACACACTGACAGTCTCAGCACCGTCCACTAGCACATATATTAAGCTACTGGATCGCTAAGCGTCTGCCCTCCCTGGTCCTGAGCCCGAAGACAAATTATTACACAATAAACAATGAAAAATTGCATCTATTTTATATAAAACAATTGAAAGATGCTTCTATGATCAATATACCAGCATCAATAAAACATATCTATGAATAATAAAAACAGCTTGCATAACATCTCCTGGTCGTACAACAATTTAACTTATGCAAATTAATTAACATTAAATATAAATACATATGCACACACACACAGACAGACACACACACACACACACACACACACACACACACACACACACACACACACACATATATATGTATATATATACACATACACACACACATACTCACACATACATACACACATATATATCTTGGAACTGACTTTAAAATCGTTAACAATACAAATAAATATCTAATTCTTTAAAATTGCTAAAAACATAAATAAATATCAACTAATTAAAATATATGTACATTAGTCATCTCATAAAATCAAATGTCAACATTATAAACTCATCCAAAAATATTAA